AAGCTGAGAAAATTGACTCGCCGCTATCACAAGCATCATGAAGCGTATGAGCTCTAGAAGCTTAAAGGCTTAAAGTGGATTTGTCTTTACCAGTTTCTAAAGAAAATTATGATATTTTACTTAAAGATTTGATAGCTGTATGTGCTGAGTGCAGCGGCTCGATGCGAATTCGGGCTATAAAACTAGAAGTACGGGGTGGTTCAGCCTTTCTTAGGAGACGAATAATTCCTCATGATCTTCAAGAAGCAGTACATAGAATACTAAATGATTTGTGTGAGAAGCATATGGCTGAACCGATTACATCTTTAGCATGGAGTACTCCTACTTTTATGCCATTGAAGTCGGATGGGAAGACCCTTAGCATATGTGACGACTATAAATTAACACTGAACTCCCGATTGTTGAAGAAAACGTGCACGATGGTGAAGGCTGAAATATTCTAAATCGACTTCAGGACTCTAAAGTGTTCTCAAAATTCGGCTTGGGAGATGCTTATCTTCAAATCCCTGTAGACTAGTCTTCATTTGTTTTGACGACAATTTGCACTCCTTTTGGTCTGTTCGAATACAACCTCCTTTCGTTTGGTCCAAGTTGTTCTCCAACCATATTTCAGGAAGTGATGAATCAGGTACTCAGTGACCTTGAAGAAGTTGAGGTGTATCAAATTGATCTCAGTGTCCATGGTTCTGATAAGATAGTTCATGACAAGAGACTGATTGCTTTTTTGTGTAGTTTAATTGAGAAGAATATTGCGGTGAATACAAATAATTGTTCGTTTTGTCCATCTATTCACGAATGTCTTGGATACCTAGTTGATGGTAATGGATTTTGTCATAACGTATGCCCTGTGTGCTACGTCCAATTTTTTGCTCCTTCCCGTTATTGAAGTACGGTATATCGATCTATTTGCAATGTACGAACTCAAATTAACAATAGAACCAAACTCCAATTTAGGTACCAAATTTTACTCACAATTTACAAATAGTCGACCCAAATGTCGTTCTAACAACAGTAATTATAAAAATCACAAAAGACCTTCAATTTTGTAGGTTTCCGGAACAAAAACTCCCAAATACCAAACCAAAGACAAAGAGAAGCCAGAATGTTCGAAAATAATTACATAAACAAACAAGTTCAGAAGTTAAGTAAAGCAAATACATCCAAAAACACAGTATAATTATCAACATACAATTAAAAGGTTTTATTCAGCCAAATGTCCTCAGTTCTCCCGTGACACTGTGTCCTATTAATGTATAACGTAATGATAGCGCCAATTAGAGAACAGTGATTTATCGACCGGACCAATGACACATAAAACCCGTACGAGCGGTGTAGAATCTTTATCGGTCCTTGAGACAAGACCAGTTTAGGTGTCTTCTTTTTATGTACAGCTCGCAGTCACCTGAAGATGCCGATATCAGGACCAAAATTCTGAGTAAAACTGAACAGTGTCCAAATATAACGCTACAAAAAGTGGGTAATGAGTGTCAGAGGTTTACTTACTTACGCCTGATACTCCTAATGGAGCAGAGGTTGGTAAACTTAAAACATGAAACTTCTATGGTTGAAAACAGTGTCCGGACATCATGCGTACAGGTAATAAATGGGCAGAAAGATTCTTTTGTACGTAAGCAAGACAGTTCAAACAATCAGCCTCCATCTTCGTGCTGGTTATGCGGTGAGTGGCACTACAAGATGTTTTGCGCATATAAAAACTATAGTTGTACTAAATGTCATTATAAGGGTCATAAATAATCCAGCTGCAGAATAAGAACCCACCATCATTCTTTGAAAACATATTTCAAGAAATACAGATCTGGTGCGAAAACTCGCAAAATATTGGTATCGCATAACAGAGTACGACTTCGCCGAAGAACGTATGTAAGTTTGAATACTAATAAACAACATACTCGCCTTCAACTCGGTTCAGCATCTGATATCACTCTCATCAGCCCAGAAACTTGGAGGAATATTGGGGGACCCATAGTTCATCCAACAACACAAGTAGCACACAGTGAATCTGGGAAGTGAAATATTGTTGGAAAAGTACCCTGCATTGTTTCTAAAGGTGATGTGACAACGAATACAACATCATACCTTACAAGGAATCCAGCACTTGACTTGTTGGGTTTAGATTTGATAGAGATATTAAAACTAGCAGAGCATTCGATAACATCTGCAGCAGAAGCAGATCTGACCTTGATGACAACATGAGCCTGAGGGGCAAATTTATATATAGCCCCTTGATAAGTGATCGAACTCACTCAGATTTTAAGCAGAAAATAGTTCAGAAAATTAAAAATCAGAATACAACACTACAACTGATAACAATCTCATCAGTCGATAGTTTTTTCTCACAAAGAGTTAAGAATATCTGAAACGAAACCTTTATAAGGTTCATTCCATATATGTTTGATTTTGACGTTTTTATTGGTCAGTGAATTTAAAGAAATGATAATAAATATGAAATCCTTTGTTGTACTCTCATGTGCAGATATAGAAAAAATCACTTCACGTCTTTTTTCTTATGAGTATGACTTTGCATTCTTGTAGTACATACTGTTTCTTTTCTTGTTGTTCATTTTTTGTATATTGGTTCACATTATTTGTTGGTTACAAATTTTGAATCTTATCTATTTCCCTGATGATAGTGAGTCTTTCAATAACCGTTTTGTCATTGTTTTGATTAATGTTGTTTTAATGGCGTTCGCCGTATTGGACTGCCGTGCTTTGATTGGTAGCTTATAAACATATCGCCTTTGTTTCTCGTGGTTGAATTTAAAACAAGTTCCCTGATTATTTTATGGACGTTTGGCATTATTCACTGTTGATCGAATTGACTTATCATTCTTCTTTCGGTGGGACATTGTTCCTTGACTATTAGGAATATTTTCCTTGGTGTGATAATTCGGTTTTATCGAGTGTCTATACCGGTTGGATAAAGTACCGTTCATCATCTCTTCCCTGCATGTTCTGTACCATTTTGAACGTTTGTTACATCATTATTAAGGAGTTATTGGCTATTCTTGTTTTTTGAATTACTGAACTCGAAAGAGCGTCACTGTCAAGTTATCAAAGGCACAGATACATTGAAACAGTCCAATTTTTTTTATTACACAATGACTTCCTATTAACCATATTAAAATTCAGATATCTACTTGATGAATATGTAATGCTTGCTTTTTTCAACCTAATTTTCGAAGCTAAGCTATTGAATTTGTTCTAAAGAATCAAAATGTGCTGATTAGATAGGAAATCATAGTGCTCAAACATTTTTAACCTCGGTGGTGAAAACAAATGAACTTTGGCAAAAATTCTTCCATGTTTAAATCTATTTTATGGGCAACGAACAGTCAGGTTGCTTTTTCCATCGCTTTAAAGACCCAAGACACATCAGTGCTACGTAAAAAATGACTGGTTCTGCTACTAGAACTCAGGTAAGTGATCACTAAGGTGTGATCATAGCCCAAGTAAGCTGAATAAACTCAAAAGATAGTTTTCAGGTCTCCCAATCATAAGAATTACGACGCCATTGAGATTCATGAACTTTACAGACACTGATCTGAATGTTTTCGAAAAACCCTTTGTGACAACCGGAAAAATACGAAGTCGCCACTTAAATATTTGAGGTTTAAGTAGTATACTTAATGAAAGCCGGTTCCGAGCCTCTTAGACGTGAAGGCTGCAGTACAAGGAGGAGCTTTGCATGTGAAACATACTTCTCAACTACTAATCAAGTCGGAGGACAAGCGATATTGATAGTTGTTTTTTAGTCTTTCTTCACTGCAGAAAAGATTCACCAGACGAAATATTTACAATCAGTGACCCCATTTTCCACTTTATAATCAACAAACAGCCGTCCTAACAGTATAATAAGAAGTAAGAAACAAAAAATAATATTGGAAGCACAGCATAGATCACTTTGTGTGAATAATGGTTAACAGATTAAATGAGATCAATAAAAGAATGCTTACATCATAAAATTGGACTGTATGAGTTTGACGAGATGTTTTCTGAGCTTATAAGTTATTCTGATATCAGTGGACTAATACATACCATACGTTCGTCCTTTTTCTATGAAGTTACTATCCATCTTAGGATAAATAATCAACACAGGAATTACAGCTTTATTGCCGTTGAGGGAGATACAAGTGGAGCAGTTAAACATAAACCTTAATCAGTTCCCACCTTTTTAAAGGAATGTAAGGTCTTAGGTCATATATCATTCTATGGAAGTAAATATGTGCAAGGAAAGTTATCAAATGTTAGAGGTTGTCTAAAGCTGCTAACGTACTCAGAGGTATGCTTGTCACGACTAGTGAACCATTTTTCTACAAAAGTATGAAAGATGAAAAACCCGAATAGAATTATTTGGTTAGAGACACATGGTCAACCACGTACATTATTTGTCGGAACCCATGATATATGACCTTTGTTTATTTATACTACCGTTTTACAATCTTAATAACCTCACATTCATTAACTACCGATGTCGAACAAATAATCTTTTAGACCATAATTTGTATTAGTTTCTTTTCTATCTGTAATTCAGCACACATGTGTAGTGACCTACTTTTACCAAGAGAACGCGATTGATTTAATGGAAACAATCATTATTATAACCAATTGTACCAGTGATTGTTTTACTGTGCTCGTTTGTTTATCTGTGCTAAAGACAGCCATATTACTGCTCAATTATCTTTCGATTGTGACCTTGCATGGGTTCGATTACGCTCGGTAACCAAGCTTGTACTCCTTTGGCACGATCTCGGTATCCTTTCGATACCACGAGATCGCCAACAAATACATCTCGATTACAGCCATCAACTGCATTCTGATATTTGGCTTACGGGGGATTTTATCGGTTAACTGGCACGTCGTCGTCTTGTAGTGGTGTTCATAGTCAAACTCGACTCGACTCCACGCTACACATGTACAAAATATCGTGACAAAATATCTTTGAAAGATCATTACTGTTTATCAAATATAAAAAAATAGTGTAAAGTTAAACAAAAATACTTTAATTTATTTAAAATTATTATATACATTAGATAGCTACATGTGAAGAAATCAAAGAAATACAATTGAACAATAGTATGATATTACCATTGGTTTAAAGACTGAAACAATCATTATCATTCATGCATAGAATGTAACTGCCACTTCCTTCTACAAAGTCATATTAATTGTTTTGCTAAAACAACAAAATTTAGCTGACTTGATGTGATGTTTATTACGGAAAAGAAACTGGAGCTGAAATGAATTTTCAAAACAAAAAAAGTCAAATTGTGAAATTATGTATAACTTTACATTTATAACAAAAGATGATTATAATCACTGACAAAGCAATTAGTCCCTTTTATAAATTTCGATAATGTAAATAAGAAGACGAAGATTATCAGAATTATGTGATATATTAGTGTAATACACTTCAAACAATCTGATCACACATTACATACGTGTTAAGAACATTTATATATCAAAATTAAAAGGTCAACTGGACTAGAAATGGGGTAAGAGGAGACAAGGACAATAATAATAAGAGTAATAATAATATTGTGAACATAATTTGAAACCTAATCACTCTGGATGATAAGTCAATATTACCAGTGTAGGTTTAAGGTAAGAACAAACTGTTTTGAATACACAAAAGGCATTAGAATTTTCGTATGGCTAAGGCTTCAATAAACCTTAGTATACGTCCTTTTACACTTTTATCCAACACCACATAAGCCGAGTTAAGATCAATCTTATAGCCTGTTTCGATTATATGTTTAGCAAAAGATGATGATGGATATTTATCCTCTGCTCTTATTGGGTCACTTGATTGTATTTGTTTCTGCAACCATTTCGGCATATGTTCACACACCCTAATTTTGAGATCACGATTGCTCCTCCCTATATATGTGTGACCACACACATTTAAGTTGGTAAACACAGTGAGATGTGACAATCATTTTCATATCTTTTAGGTTTTGGATGAAGCATGCACTTTGTTCTTTCCCTGATAATGACCTTCTCTGCGCAATACGTTTTGTTGATGGCTGATTTAAGTCTTTGTTTCAGTAAAAGGCTATTTGAATCACCTCTAAATGGTAACGTGATGTAGACAGGCTTTTTCTCTACCAAGGTCTCACTGTGCCATGAAATTTCCATCTATTTATAAATTTCTAAGGATAGCCGTTTTCCATTATTGTTGTATTTAACAACTTAACATCATAATCAATAGTATCATTTGTACAAATACGATCAAGCCTATTGAATAGGCACCTTATCAAACCACGTTTGTATTGCACAGGTCAATAACTATAAGAGCTAAGGTATTGACCTGTCCACGTTGGTTTAGTAAAAATGGGTCGTTTGACTGAGCCATCTTCTCGTCTACTCAGAAGTATATCTAGGAAGGGAAGCTGATCGTTCTTCTCTTCTTCACATGAGAGACTAATATGGTTTTGGAGTGTTAAATTTATTCAATAAGCAGTACATATCCTCATTTCTTTCACAAACAACTAAGATATCGTTCACATATTTTTTATAAGGTGACATGTTTTCGACTAGGTCATCAGCCAAGTTTTCAACATATGCCATTAACACATTTGCTAATAATGTTCCTAGCGGACTACCCATAGCAACCCCATCGATCTGACGAAAGTATTCACCTTCAAAAGTGAACTGAACTTTGTCAGACATAATAATAGTAAATCTTTAAGAATTTTGAAAGGGATAAATAATGTAAGCTTGTATTGTTGTATGAAAGTGTAAAAAGATGTATACTCAAGTTTATTGAAGCCTTAGCCATACGAAAATTCAAATCCCTTTTGTGTATTCAAAAACAGTTTGTTCTTAACTTAAACCTACACTGGTAACATTGACTTATTATCCAGAGTGATTAGGTTTCAAATTATGTTCATAATATTATAATTACTCTTATTATTATTGTCCTTGTCTCCTCTTACCCCATTTCCAGTCCAGTTGACCTTTTAATTTTCATATATAAATGTTCTTAACACGTATGTAATGTGTGATCAGATTGTTCGAAATGTATTACACTAATATATCGCATAATTCAGATAATCTTCGTCTTCTTATAATCGCTTTCGTAATGGCACTAGAATTTCATCGCAATACACTATTTATATATTAACAGGATCTATTAGTTCCTCTACTAAGAATAAGCCTATCCTATCTGTTTCTTTATGTTATTTTAATCCATGAGATAAATGTCTTCTCGGAACAATTTACGAACCATATTTTCTCGAAAGTTATAATCTCATATCTCTGTCCTTTACATGTTACATTATTTTTTGTATCATCCAAATCATGCCGATTAATTACCAAGCCCTTTGTAATTATTTCTGAAATATTATTTATTTTCAGAAGGGGTTTTGTGTAGTTTTTAGAAATTTCAATAGTTGAAATTATGAGTTGATTAAAGCTAGACCACCATGGAAAACCTGGAAGCACTGGACTGCTGTTTTGTCCTAGTATGGGACTATTCGGCAGTGAGCAGGGCGGGATCGTGGATGCGTTGGATGCCGGCTAAGTGGTCTAGTGGTTAAGCGCTTCAGCGCGAGAGTGATAGGCCCTAGGTTTGAATCTCGCGAAGGGCGAGATCGTGGATGCGCACTGCTGAGGAGTCCCATACTAGGAAGAAACGGCCGTCCAGTGCTTCCAAGTTTTCCATGGTGGTCTAGCTTCAATTGACTCATAATTCCAACTATTGAAATATATGAATAACTTGAAAATTAACGTCAGAAGAATGTGATAAATTTCCAGTTTCATATTTAAGCATCTATGCTTCCCCGCAAATATACATCTTTATATGCTAATCATTCGTAAGTAGTTTACATGAAGTTATGGAAGTACATTTTATGACTGCTAATAATAAACTACGAAGTATATATGTGGCCTCAGAATAACTCCTGTTTTATTAATTTCAAGCTTTCACTAATCCCTCTAACTATCTTCATATACAATTACTGTCTAATGAATTATGTCATTTCTCAGTCTACGCTGTTCTCTTTCTCAGTGATTTTAAGGATTATATCGGTGAGATTATAATTTATGGAAGACCTTTAAGTGATACTAAAGTGGCCTTTAGGAACTTCAACCACTAACTGAGTTCGAAATAGGGTTATAATTTAGTATAAGGAATTAGGATTAAGAGTGAAAGTTATGGCTTTCATCACGAAGTAATAGTTATAATATGAAGATTCAATTGAGTAATATAGGTGAATAGATTTCAAGCGAAAATCTAGCAGTCACTATTTTAAATCCTATTGCTTTTTTTCATGAATTATAGTCCCACCACTATACCATTGCAATCAAGCATAGCGTAGTGTTTAAAAATATTAACTCACCTTCAAAATGTAAAGCATCATAATAAATAACACAGCTTTCGTCTGTATTACAGATTTAAAATTTCATTCCAATGTAAGTTTGAATCACCAGTTGATAGTGTCGAGATGTTATTTACTTGAGGAGTTTGATTCACATTCATTAGTTTACTCTCTAACGAATGAGTTCTACGTACATGACTGTCGTGAGCTGCATGTGAAGCAAACGGTTTCCAACAAAATTTACACTGTATTTAAAAGAAGAAACACTATCTTCAATGATCAGTAATAAAAAATATTCAGATTTGAAGAAGAATACTGTACTAAAAATTAAAGATTTCATGGATATACAATGTTTAACAACAATATCTGCTGACTGACTATCCTAAGATATGCTTAGAACAGCGTACTCAAACGTGATCTGGTTCGGATTCTTGACCGAACACCATCTGAGGATGTGCCCAGTAAAACTAATGAGATCAGTATCAATGTCGAAATCATATACAACTATTTATTTTGAAGATTTATTTTAAAAAAAGTTTCTCATCTTTGTGACAAAGCTTAGTAACTAAATTAGTGATAATTGCTGGAATGGCTTACGAGAACTACGATGGAGCCTCCGGAGGCCCTCGAAGAGCTGAAGAGTTCCATCCAATCGGAATGCAACGGAGCTTTTTAGAACATCACCGTAGCATGCTACTATTGATCAGTAGCATAACATGCCTCTTTGCAGATTGGTTGAATTATAATGTTGATTTAACAAACGCTAATATCTACAAATACCCATGTATTTCCGTACATTTTGATCCTTGCCCAAAAAGCACTTTCTCCAGTCTTCTTCCCCCTTCTCAGTTGCGATTTGGAGGGTTCTAGAGTTCGAGTGCTCAAGTTATACGCGGTATATTAAGAATCTAAACTATAGATATAACGGCAGTTACCACATGTGACTGTCTCTAGTAAATAGGGTACAGTTTGAACCAATGTTTAATAAAGGATTCACCTATACTCCGAGCAAATACCCAATTGTTTTGCCATTTCCAAATTCAGTCAGCCAGTCAGTAACAACGTCGAACTTCGTACGTACGTAAATTAGTACGAGTTGCCATACCACATTAGCACAGAGATGTAGTTGTTCATTCAAATCCCTTAGTGGTAGACGTAGTAAGAGTATAAGTATTAATCGGAAATATTAGGGTTTGAAGATGTTATTCAAGGAGTATAATTCAGTGAAATAAATTTGAAAAGAAAATAAAGGACATGAATAATTTAGAAGACTGGAATTCGGAAGAACACAAAGAGTGGATGTACCTGCGCACACCATTGCAAACGATGTTGAGCCATGTCATTCAAGGTCTATAACCATCGATTGCTATCGTCTCACGGATCACAACCAGGTAGTCTACACTTACCAACATGACTCATTCCACTTGTCAGTCAGTGACTTCATGGATTTGTGTCGTGTTCTGTTTTGGCCGCCCATAACTTTCTTCCAACCTACTCCTACACCATAAAACTTTGCAGATCGGGGCAGTCGGTGGTTGGGCATATGTAACACATGTCCCAGTCATCTAAACTGATGAAGTTTCGTTACTTCGTCAATTGATTTTCCATCCTTACCTACTACCCGTTTTCTAACGACTGCATTACTTACTCGGTGGTCACACGATGTACTAGCAATGCTTCTAAGGCATCTATGATCGAATACTAGTGATGTACGAATATCTTCTACTCTTACTGGCCATTTTTCACTGCCATAATGTGGGACGGAACGAACTGGTGCGCAGTAAACACTTCCTTTGTTTGATAGATGGATATCTCGCCTATGCCATAAATGACGCAAGTTGGTAAAAGCTAATCGAGCCTTGTGTATCGGTGCTGAGATTTCGTCACACACTAGACCACAATGGCTGATGAGACTCGCAAGATAAGTGAAGCGGTCGACACGTTCAACTACTTCACTTCCTATCATTAGTTCTGGTGTCGGTGCAACCCACTCCTGAAGTAACATTTTGCATTTCGAGTGGGAGACATATAGGACAAGTAGACTGCGTCAAGCAATGGAATATAGGATCCTCATTTCGTCTTATTCAGAACTTTCTATCTAGACAAACTTGTATCCCAGAGTTGATGTCCAGTCCGGGATTTAAACCTTTTCCTTCAAAGTACTTTGAGTCATCCTCTTAGTCATTGAGTTCGGATAGTCACTCACTTGTACAACGGGTATGAGATATAATAGTTTGAACTGTCCTGTTTTTGATATTTTGACTGAAATTTGATCAGTTTTAGTTGGCATGTGCCCATCTCGTGAGAATCATTTCGATACGGCGATCATTTCACAAGTTTATATAGAATCGATCCAACTGATGAGTCCCAAATAGAACGAGAAGAGCGTTCTGGATTCCATTGATAGCCACAGTATATATATTCTATATAATCGTGTAAAATTATGGCTGTATCGAAATGATCTTCACAGGATATGCATATACCAACGAATACTGATTACATTTCAGTCATGATATAAACAACAGGTTAATCCAAACCATTTCAAATTAAATAAAATTTGACGTTTTACTTAGAAATCATTAACCTAAATCTACCATCTCATACTGATATTATTTTGTAAAACATCTCATTATACAAATAATATAATGATAACAAAAGTTATTTAGCATAAAATGAAAACATAAGTTTCTATTGATTGATACATATATACTACTGAATCAGTCAGTCAGCTACAACGTAGGACCAGGCACATATATGCATCGGTCCGAGTTGCCATACCTCATTAACACAACAAGATTGACACCGGATTCATAAAAGTGGTTAATTCAGAGGTGGTAATATATAAAAGAAAGATTGCATCTAACGATATAGTACAGAAAGAAAGAATTAGTTCTTAGAAAGAAAGATATGAGGCGATTTTATTCTCTTAGTTTAAGGGAAGACAGAGAGTGTAGTGAATAGCCTAGTAGTTCAAAGAAATCCAGAGAATATTCAAGTGAATATTCTTCGTTTTTGATTAACTTAAGTTAAAACTGAATCTACGTTGAAAGTGTATTTTCGTATGCACAAAAAAATTCTTTATTATCCTTTATATTTAAAATAACAATGACAACAATCAATAAATCTATGTAATCAATCAAAACAATATTATTTACCAACTTACTTTAAAAGGTTTCTCTCCTGAATGCTGTCGAATATGAGTACGTAGAATACTACTGGCTGTAAATGCTTTATTACAATAACAACATTTATAAGGACGTTCGCCACTATGTACCTAAAATAGGTTGAAAAAGGATTTTAATCTTTGGATCAAATTTCTTTTAAAAACGATGGTTCAAATATTTCCAGGATATTTAAAACAATAACTCTGCTCGAAGCCCCTCTGGAGCTACTGTCGGTCCCAAACCCGGATAAAGGAAGAAGGTTTGGCATGAGGTTAGTGACCCCATTGTGTAGAAAACGAACTCGCTTAAAAAAACACTAATATTTAAAACAATGATTCGGAATGAATAGTTTTACATTTCCAACTCCATTGAAAGTTTTAAAACTCATAAATTCCATCTTAATGAACTTATAAGTAATCCATAATACATTTTCAACAATCCAATAATATGAGTATGGGGTTGTGGAGATTATTATGTTTTTGATTGAGATTGTGAACCGATCCCGCGGGCGGGATCTTGGATGCGCACTACTGAGGAGTCCCACAATATAACGAAACGGCTGTCCAGGGATTCCAGGTTTTCAATGGTGGTCTAACATCAATCAGTTCATGATCTCAATCAAAATCAAATAATGATATGCTTTTTTAATGATGAAAAAGAAATTTGATGAATACTTGCTTGGAATAAAACACTCATCAAGCATTCTAGAAGAAACTACTTCATCCATCTAAGTCGTATTATGACATGACTATTGCGTTAAATAAGTCAAAGTTCGTTATTCTCCAAGTACTTTTCGAAGATTCCTGTTTTTTTTATTTATCAAATCATGTAGTAAACACGAAACTTTGAATATACTAGGAACTTCTTTAAATTTAAAGATTATTAAACATGAAGTTCAAGTGTGTATAAGATGAAACTGGATAACACATATATGATATTCATTGAAGCTGAATTACCCTGGAGAACCAGTAGTATCCAGGTAATGTAAATGATATTTCATTCTATTTTAACATCATTTATTATTATGTTCATTTTACATAATCCGTAGTTGAATCACTGACAGATTTTCTGTTAAGGGGAATGTTAACTTGACAATTTCGATGAACGATTTTTTTTCATTATCAGTCAATCTTACTTTATTACAACATATGCCAATTTTCCAGATACTCAATGCAGATACAATATGATATATGGAAGACATTCAACCTTTGGTTAAAATTTCTTTTTATCTCTTGTTAGTTTTTCTAAGTGGTCAATGGAAGCTATTTTATTTTATCAATTAAGTTGTCTGTTAAATTAGTAAGGCGCTTAACTGAAATATAGATTTATGTGCGAATAATAAAACTTCTGAAATCAGCCGATGAGTTATCAACCAATAGAACAAACCTATGAAAAAACAAGGTTGGAAGAGACTATAATTTATGGACGACCTTCGAACAAATCCTGAGTGACCTTGAGAAATATTAACCGATCAGAAAAGTGGATACACTACTCATACGTGGTTCAAAAACTTGTCAAGGTTACAAAACGGTTCAGAGGTTCTAAAATCGTAATGCATACAGTAGAGGAAATCATTCATACGACTACAGAATAGTCGGCCTCTGGAGCCATAATAAAGTATCAAAAACTCTTTCAACCTCGACCACATAACTTCAATATTGTTTATGTGCACTCCGGTTGTTGAGTACACAAAATGCTACTTGTGGATAACGACACGATGCACATAACCAAGCCTATGTACGAGTCTGTTCGCTCTTCAATCATCCGTATATATTGTAGTACCTGGCTGCAGCCAGTGTTACTGATGCTTTTATTATCTAGTTCACGATAATTGTCATAAGTTGCCTTGGTTAGGAATCATATATGTGGTTTTCATCACGAACTGATATCAGCTATAATGCCAGAAATTTATTTAGCCAAATGGATGAAACGATTTCGCGTTAAAAATCCAAGATATGTTATCTTATACCTGATTGATTCGTCCACAAATTATAGTTTCGCCGTTTTATTTGTTATAGCCTCTCAATTATCACGTTTTGTAGAAAATTCCTTGTGAACCGATCGTACATTAGCATTAAGCATTGGAGTTGGCGCCGTAACCTTGAAGTCTTTAAAACGCTTCTGACTGCCTCGTCCATAAATTAGGGTCTCGCCAAAAAAGGAATAAAAAATTCACAAAACTATAAACTTATGCGTAATTAAAGTAAGAACTTCCGTCTAAATTTAATCGAATAGTCTCACAGTATTTGAGCACCAAGTTGATATGAAACATTAAAGAGGAAGAATGTAAAATATATTTTATTATAACTTACACGTAAATGTTTATTTAGGCTTGATGATTGACTAAAATTCTTTCCACACAAATGACATTTATGTGGTCGATGTTTTTCATGAACATGTAATACATGTATTCTTAGTCGATCACGTTTTTCAAATGACCTTGAAATAAAAATAATATTGATGAATTCATAATATTTAACATTATTTTGGAGATTTAACAAGTATATTTAAACAATAATAATAAGCAAAGATGAATAGTGGCTAGCAGTCTCGTCCTACTGGGGACTCGTCAGCTGATAAATCAATATTCCTAACAGCCTCTTGTATGTGTTGACTTAAATTTATATTAAAATATGTCTTTACTGAAGAATCTCTGCGATGGTGATTCCTTCAGATACTCAATTGTCATCAAGTTTAAGATAAGTAAATAATGAAAATTGAAGTATTTATAAATAGATATAATAGTTTGTCTTAAAATAATTCATTAAACCTAGTTGATTATGTGTAATAGAATTGCTAAAGCAATTTAAAATTGGAAAAATTTAACCATTTCAAACGATGAAGATTTATTGCTGAAATAGGTAGTTTTGACTAGGTACAATCCTTTGAATTGAATGGTTTGATTACCGTCAGTCAATCAGCTATAACGTACGATCAGGCACATATATGCATCGGTTCAAGATGCCACACCTCATTAGCACAAAAAAGATGAACATCAAAGTCATAGAGGCAGTTACTTCAATCGTGGTAATATATAAAAGAAAGATTGTGTATAACGATATATTACAGAAAGAAAGAATTAGTTGGTAGAAAGAAAGATATGAAGCGATTTTAATCTCATAGTTCAAAGGAAGACAAAGAGTGTATACACCGACGCCATTGTGATCGATTCTGAGCCATGTCACCAAGAGTCTCCAACCATTGATTATGATAGTCAAGCGGACCCCAACCAAGTAGTCTGCATCTCCAAACATGACTCAGACTAGAAGTTAGTGACTTCAAGCACTGATGACACGTTTTGGTTTGGCTACCCCTAACGTTCTTCCAACCGTCTCCAACACTAGTCAGCATTGGGCGTCTTGGTAATCGGTGTTCAGGTATACGTAGCACGTGGCCCAACCATTTCAGTCGATGAAGATTCACAACCTCATCAACTGATTTATCAACATTCCCTAGTACCCTACGTCTAACCTCACTATTACTTACCCGGTGATCCCAGCAAATGAGAGCAATATTTCTAAGACATCTGTTATCGAATACTAGTAACTTACAAGTATCTTCTACTCTTAATGGCCATGTTTCGCAGACATAAAGTAGAACAGAACGTAATGATTGATTACAGAGATGTGGTTGACTTTATAAACAATATTATTTAAAATAGTAAATATTATTGCATGATTAAGCTATCCAGACCAAAGAAATTGACACCACCATATATATAATCTATTAATCCTCAGTAATATTTTTCATTGGACAAGATTCCTAACCAATAAAATTGATGATCTAAAATGAGTTCTTTCTGTTAATAAGATAACATGTAATAGGATAGATAAATATTGTGTAAATGTTAAATATTTTCATAAATAATATGGATGTATATAATAAAACAAGACATACCGAGAGCAAAGTTTGCATGGATACTTTCTATCACCTTGATCCATACATCTTGTATATTTCAAATGTTTATCCCGATAATATTGATAAGCAAACATTTTTCCACAACGATCACATGTATAACCTTCACGAGCTATAGACATAAATTAATGATATTCTTTAGTGAATTAATTTAGTAGTATCGTATAATATAATGGTGTATTATTTAAGATGTATTAGATCTGAATAAACCGATGTATAGTTTGATCAATAATACAAGTTTTCACTTCATTAATTATATTTAGGTAATATTCTATATCAAACTATTAATTAGTGTTATTTCATGAATTTAAAGAATGTCATTGTTTTGTAAACCAACTACATAACTTAGAGTACTGAGAGTACTCTAATTTCTAATTTCAATAGTTGAAATCATGAGTCAATTGAAGCTAGACCACCATGGAAAACTTGGAAGCACTAGACAGCCGTTTCGTCTTAGTATGGGATTCCTCAGCAGTGCGCATCCATGATCTGTTTTGTACATCTGCTTAGATTTCATTTAATATAAACATGTTTTTACTGAATGACTATTCTGATTATTCTATATTCTAAATTTTTCATTACTATTCGTTTTTACTTAGAATATATTTTAACAGTATAAAATTTGATCGATTTCAAATTTACACACTTTTTCAATTTTTGGTAATCTGTATAGTCCATATTTAATTACTTTATGATTGATTCTTATCACAATTCAATTACTACACTGTTTAAAATGATTTAATTATCCTGAAACAGTTGACCGCTTCATTCACTATGCTACTATTATTGACAGATATAAGTAGTATGTATCATTAGTCGAAAGTGAAATACTTGATGGCGGAAAGTTGAGATCAAAGAAAAGAGAACGAGAACAGAGAATGATTGGTGTAGAGACGAGAGAACTATAGAGTCTGAGATAATTGATTAACATTATGTAAATGAAGTATTTATTTTATGGTTCTCGAATATTTCTAAGAGATTCCGTAATTTTGTATTCAAATAGATTTGGTTGACTTCGCTTGTGTTTTTGTTCACTACACTACTAATACACTACTACTACTACTACCACTACTACTACTACTACTACTACTACTACTACTACTACTACTACTACTACTACTACTACTACTACTACTACTACTACTACTACTACTACTACTAATACTAATACTAACACTAATACTAATACTAATACTAATACTATTTATTGACTGTTAGCATACACTCAGTGTTCTCATTTAACTAAGTAATCATTGATCATTTTCACAGGTTAAAGATTATTTCTGTTATTATACTTATGAACAAAAATTAATTTGACTTTGGTAGAAATGGTAACAGAAAATATTTTGAATAATGAAAAAATACTACTACTAATAAATATAAGTAATTAGCTGCTTACAGTACTACTTTATTGGGAGAAACTTCTAACTTAACAATTGCTGATTATATATATAATTACTTTATATTACTGATATCGAGTTTAGACTTTAACTTTCACTGTCAGTAATTACCTGGACTTGTTTCAATCATGTGAGCCGATTCCAAATGTCCTTGAATACTATTCATCGTCTGTTGATTATTATTATTATTATTATTATTATTATTATTATTTGAATATTCTGTAGTATTATTTCTAACAGAAGTTAGATGAGATGAAATGAAATTGTAATCATTAGATCTTTTAGGTGATGAAACATGAGAAAATGCTGATTTGATTGATTCATCATTGAATGATACATTCATTTGTTTATGATATCGTTTATTAGATAATTTCAACAAATTATCTTGATCATTCCATGATTTATTCAATGAATTTATCAATGATCTATTCAAACTTGAATTTTTGATCTTTTGTTGTTGTTGTTGTTGTTGTTGTTGTTGTTGTTGTTGAAATATCAAGTCATCTTTCTTAGATAAAGTTGATTTTTGTATCACATATAAACTACTATTATTTATATTTAAGTGATTTGGATCTATTTTATTCAAATCTATTTTATTTTGATCAATATTAGAATATTGAGCATAAAGATTTGATGGTTGAGAATCATTTTCTGTACACAATTTTCTAGACGTTGGATTGATAGAAGAATGATATAGTTTTATATTTGCATTGATAAGCAGAAACATATCATAGAATGGATTCTTTTCACTGTATCAGTACAAAAGAAAGTATGTTTAATTGATATTTTAATCATAAAGATCAATCGAAAAAAAAGAAAAAGACTACTCATTTGAATAGAGTTTTGATGAAGATTGTTTTCCTTTTGTCTGCCTAATTAGCTTATTACTGATTAGTAATTAGATAGATATAACAAATAATTATTGCTAGAATGATGTAGAAAGTTTATCGGAAATCAAATAATATGACAATGTACTAATAGGTTGTTAGATTCAAGCGAAGATTAAATCACGAGTAACTTCTGAGATATATTAATTGAAGAATATTATCTATACATTCTTATGGTATAACTATTCAATAACTAGATTGTGTATATTTATATTCCTCTCATCATAAGCTTCATTTTGACCTATATATTATTATTGTACGATTTACTGTTCTTAAGCTATGTTCAGTTTATTGACTACTGTCTCCCACATTCACAGCCACTTTTTGGCTTTATTGTGTACAAATATTATTTCCTATTTTATGATGCGTTGCGGTCTGTTTGTTTAATATATAAACCCAGTATGTTTGAAATAAATGATTCGTTTCGCATATTGGAAGCTGGTATTTGGTGTTGTGGACTCAAGTGGACGGGCTAGGTGGACATAGGACCAATAAGGACACTAGGCTGCTCATACCGGTCGGACGTCATTGGTTTGGCACAGTGCTACGATTGCATAATTCGTATTTTGATTGGTGGATAAATCACGTGATAACTAGCCGGACATAAAGTCATAACATAGGTGATTGGAGAGATTTAGATGGTAGTTGGAGGTAGTCAACAGGAAACCCTGGACCCGGGTTTCGTGCTACTTGGCACTCGTCAGCAAGCTGTACCTGTAATCTTGAGGAAACTGATGCTCCCTGGCTGATTCGATCTCGTGTTACCCAGTTTCACAGTCAGAGACGTTACCACTGAGCTGTCCGAGCCGACCTCCTGTAGGACTGAGATGTAATCGCAATTGATTGATCACTGGGTGGTGATCAATGTCATGCTTGTCTAGTCCTTATTAGTGCAGATCGAATGCTATCGATCATGTTGCAGTCGCGGCTCGGATAGCTCTGTGGTAACGTCTCTGACTGCGGAGCTGTGTGACACGAGATCAAATCCGCCAGGGAGCATCAGTTCCCTCAAGATTACAGATACACCTTGCTGACGGGTGCCAAGTAGCACGAAACCCGGGTTCAGGGTTTCCTATCGCCTACCTCCAACAACCATCTAAATCTCAATACATAGTGCCCGCAGTGTCGAGTCACCTAGACAGGTGGCCATATTGCAAGATGATCGATAGCATTCGATCTGCACTAATAAGGACTAGACAAGCATGACATTGATCACCACACAGTGATCAATCAATTGAGATAGATGATTGGAGATTTTTTATATGATACATGGGAACTAGGTTTCGTACTAAATGACACTCATCAACAAAATTTATCTGTAATCTTGAGGGAACAAGTGATCGCTGAAGAATTTTATTCCTCGTCTTCCAGCCTTAAATCCTCAGGCAATTTTATGTCACTTTTATCTAGTACTTAAGTCTGGACTGAATTCTATTGATCGGGTTTTTAAGTGACTAGATATCTTATGTATTATATCTCAGCTCTAAATGAGGTTAGTTGCCGCCCAATTAGCTCCGTGGTAACGTTTCAGAGATAGAATCCTACTGCGAGCAATATTGACCTCAAGATTACGGATGAACCTTACTAACAAATCTTAACTAGTATGAGTCCTATATCCAGAGTTTCCTGTCGGATACTTCCAACCATCTGACATCTCAGAAATGTGCATGCGATTTCCAGTTACTTAAATTTGTGATCATATTTCACTTTGATCGATAGAATTCAATCAGTAGTAAAAGACAGAACAAACATGGCACTAATCATTTCTTAATGATCAATCAGTTGTAAAGACAGAGCCCTACCTATACTAATGACATCTATAACATGAAGCATTAACTCTTTAGCTAAGAGTTATGCTACAATTTTTTCTGTATAATATCAGTTTAGATATTAGGAAACAATTTAATTACCTCCATACCAGGTAACCATCAATCAGTTTTAAGTTGTTCTTTATCAATGAGAAATTTTTTTAAAGGTAATATTTATGATGACACTATCAAGACTACCAGCTCAACATTGTTATCTATTATTCGTCTTTTATGATTGAATTATTCTATTAATTCTATTAAAAAGTATAGAGTGCATATCGGTTACCTCATACATCAAAAATCTAAATTCAAAGCTTACCCTGTAACCCTGTAATTGACTACTGATTTATATTGAAATTAGTTTAAAATGAACTAAATCCACTGACAATCACCGCAGCACTATAAAAAGGTTTATTAGTAGTTAACAGACTTGATCTTGGAGTAAAAGATGTAGATTGACTCCATCTGCTTCATTTTACGAGATCTAGCACTAGTCATTCATTAATAAACAGCGTAAAACACTCAACCTACTTCAGGAATTTAAACATATAAAAAGCTATCATGATAACGGAAACTTATATGTTTCATCCTACCACTCAAAAACAAAAAGACTTGATGTCTGTAGCCACCCAGCTATTGATTAGAGGAGAATACTGTGAAGTTTGAAAACATTAAATGATGGAAAATCAACGTGGATAATAACTACATCAATCGAATGACTAGGAAATAAGAGAAAATCCGTGTTCGTGGTTCCAATGGTGAACAAAAGTAGGATAATCAAATAATTAACCTAATCATTACTTCAGAGAGATCGCATGCTAACACTGATTGAAGATCCCGGGTTACATATTGTTTAAATCCACGGTATGCTCAGTTGAAGAGTTTTAAACTAGAGCACGAAACCCATCCAGTACTTCTATATTTTCAATTATTAGCAAATCACGTGTCAAGATGGATAAAAAATCAATTTTAAAATGGTTGATTTTTTCACTTTCTAATGACCTATCTGACTATATAATTTATTGATTCCATTAATACAGACTGTCATACATTATCATACATTAATTTCGTACTTATTCTAGGAATTGATACACTATCCAACTTGATATATAATTTTGTTTCATAGCTTTCGAATAAAATAGACAATGGATATGATGCATATAAACAAAGTGCATAGATAAAAACATGAAATGTTTAATGTAGTTGACATCGTTATGTGAAAAAGTACAAGAATAGGTCATAATAATTAAGTCAAAAATGAGACATTAGTCACATGCTGTGTAGATTATCATTGTAGATAATCAACGAACGCTCGTTTCGATTTCCTAGCCACTTCTAATAACACCGGTTTTAGTCTACACTGTAACTTGAACACAAGAGAAAAGGTGTGAAGTGCGGAAAGAACGCTTTACTCCGAGGTTAGGTTTATGTACAGAAAAATGAGGGTATTTATAAAATGATACACGACGTTGAGCCCCTGAAAAATCCTGAAACTGTACCAAGTATGGTAGTAGCATAGGTAAATATCCTATCAAAACTTTAGCTCATGACTCCGCATTGATCTAGATGTTTCTGCAAAGATTCGGCGAGACTCTAATTTATGGAGGACCTTCGAACGAATCCTGAATGAACTTGAGAAACATTAACCGATCACAAAAGTGAGTACACTACTCATACGTGGTTCGAAAACTTGTCAAGGTTAGAAAAAGGTTCAGAGGTTCTAAAATAGTAATGCATACAGTAGAGGAAATCATTCATACGACTACAGAATAGTCAGCCTCTGAAGCCATAATAAAGTATCAAAAACTCTTTCAGCCTCGACCACATAACTTCAATATTGTTTATGTGCACTCCGGTTGTTGAGTACACAAAATGCTACTTGTGGATAACGACACGATGCACATAACCAAGCCTATGTACGAGTCTGTTCGCTCTTCAATCATCCGTATATATTGTAGTACCTGGCTGCAGCCAGTGTTACTGATGCTTTTATTATCTAGTTCACGATAATTGTCATAATTTGCCTTGGTTAGGAATTATATATGTGGTTTTCATCACGAACTGATATCAGCTATAAAGCCAGGAATCTATTTAGCCAAATGGATGAAACGATTTCGCGTTAAAAGTCCAAGATATGTTATCTTATACCTGATTGATTCGTCTACAGATTATAGTCTCACTGTTTTATTTGTTATAGCCTCTCAATTATCACGTTTTGTAGAAAATTCCTTGTGAACCGATCGTACATTAGCATTAAGCACTGAAGTTGGCGCCGTAACCTTGAAGTCTTTAAAACGCTTCTGATTGACTCGTCTATAAATTAAAGTCTCGCCTAGAACTCTTCTACTATTTCTATCTTTAACTTAAATTTGTACAAAAACGATCAATAATAGTTTAACTTACTTTAATAAAAGTTCTTCACCAGTATCAATATATCGTTGAGTTTTAAAATAAAATAATCTTTGTCCATTATATTTATTGAATGTATTCATGAACTGAGAATCATTACTTGACAAACTATTATTATTATTATTATCGATAGTTTTTAAATTATCAATTACAGATATAATCATAATGTTCGATTGAGTTGAATTTCTATTGACAGTAATATTTTGTTCTAATTGAGTTGAAACATCACGAACTAATGTCATCCATAGCATAGTTGTATTTTGTAAAGTATTAAGAACTGAATTATCTACAATTGTTGTTTGCATATCACTTATCTGATAAAAAGAGAAAAGAAATTAAGTTTTCTAATTAGTTTTACAGTGGATTTACTCAATCCGAAGAAGTAGAGTGGAGTGGTTTTAGGAGGTAACAAGTTGGTGTACCATTTTTAATCGCTCTTAGTTCACATAAGCAAGTTTCAGCTCATGTAAGATATTACTATGCAGTTAACCTATAGAAACAAAATATTATAACCACCACAAGTTATAATCAAAATGGTGTGTTTTATACCAAGGATGAATTAGACTAATTTGAACGTATACCAGTTGTCATAAATTGCAAATGTAGTGTATTTAATACAATTCTGTACAATCATGTATACAATATAAACCACATTTTGGTACAACAGTTATTAGTTCATAATAGAAAGTAACTAAAAGATGCATTCTGAGAGTATAAAAAAATTAGTTGACTAATAACATGATGCTATGAATTTCGTCGTAAATTATCCTCTGTGAAATCCCTGACATAGCAATATCAATACCATAACAAACTTTTTCCCACATATTTCATTTTGAATTTTTGACCAACCCCTTAGTCACTTTCCAGTTTTATTGGTGAGATCGATAAAAAGACATTTAGACTTTTGACTACTTATAAGTAAGCAAAATTATCTATCGAAATTAATAGAACTTCTTTGCAACGATGGGTGAGCAGTACATAGAAATCTACTATCCAGTCAGTTGTCAAAGAAATTTATTTAGAATGTCATTTTAGAGGACACTGTTTCTTTTATAAAATACAATGCGATTTAATAGGACCATATCAATAATACCAATTAAAGCATTCCATGTATGCACTCCTATTATTTTAACTCCATCACTTAAGTTAACAGAAGTGTGGAACAAACATCAAAGTGTTTGGACAATGATCATATTTTATTTTACTATGATCTAGATAATGTACTGTATGGCTGCTGAAAAAAAGGGTCGTTGGAAAAAAGAAACAAGTCATTATCACCACTTGACAGACATGCAAATAATTGATACGTTCTTGGTGTTTTCATTTATTCTTTTTACATAAAATGTTGGTTGAAATCTACTTTACTTATCTCAAAGAACATTCAAATTTGAAATTGTCATGTTAAGAAAAGCCGTCCTATATTAGAATGAGACGGTCACCTAGTTCTTCCATTTCTTACATGATAGTCTAACATTGATCCATTCATGATCTCAATCAAAACTCAACAATCTCCACAACCCTATACTGAAAATCAATATTTATTACTCACAAGATAGTGTTACTAGATATTCGAGTGAACAATCTGATAATAATCGTCTGCTCACTAGTGACTCCTGGAGTTCTAGTGATCAGCCGTTACCAGTGGAGTTCAACCAGGTCTGTTGTGAGATATCAGCTCACTGAAGACAATGGTATACGGTGGCGCAACTTCGTTGATTGGTTGAAGTTAGGCATTAACACCATCGGATGCCGGCCCAGTGGTCTAGTTGGTTAGGCGCTTGGCGCAAGACTGATAGGTCCTGGGTTCGTGGATGTGCACTGCTGAGGAGTCCCATACTGGGACGAAACGGCCATCCAGTGCTTCTAGGTCTTCTATGGTGGTCTAGCTTCAATTGACTCATGATTTCAATCTGTGAAACTTCTAAAACCTCCACAAACCAGTTCTGATAATCTTTATGATGTTTGATCAATCAATGTAAACATAATTTTTCACTATTATAAACTTACCGAAAGTAATTTAGCACTTTTGTATACACATGATTGATTATCTGTTTTATTCATTTGAAAACATTCATTCATAGAGAATGGTCCTAATAAAGTTCCAGATAGAATTGGTTTTGAACAAATTACTTGATAGTGTTCTTTTTTAGTTTGTTTTATAATTTTTAAAATAGTTGGTTCACATTGATTTGAATACGTTTTTAAATCATCCATAGTTAATAAAGATTTATGATTATCTATCAATTGAATAACATCTTGTTGAATGGTTATAATTTGTTGTTCATTATTTAAGCGTTGATTATTTTCTAAAAGATGATAATCATTGAAAGAATAATTTGGTTTATAAAGATACAAGTTAAACTTTTATTGGAATTCCTTGAAAATATGAACAAAATATGTGGATGATCTAACTGTATGTATACCTATCTTTTCCTCTTTACATCCCATAGAAATGAATGAGCTTTTGTCTCGTATTGATTGTTGGTCTGTTGGTAATGGTCTCATATTTAATCCGTCTAAATGTTAAGTTGTTAACTTTAGCATGAGAAATGAACGGAATCTAAACACCATTTTGAGATCACATAATGCTTGTACCATTGGAAACTCTTTGATAAACACAGTGTCGAAGGTCAATTTTCTTGGTGTTACCTTTTCCTCTGATCTCTCTTGGTCTTCCCATGTTTTATTGTTATCGAAGAAGGTTTTTCTGTCTGACTTACTACATAAAGAGATTGCATGCTCTTGGGATTACTCGTCATTTACTCTTACAATTTGTCAATTATTGCATATTACCTATTATTACTTACTGTTCTTCATTATTCTTTTCTGGGCTTTTGAGAAAAGACTTTGCTGTATTGCGGAGAGTGCTAAAGGCAGTTATCAAGGTGTGTGGTGAATCTTTCGAGGTCATAATTAATGTGGTTGTGGATAGATATCTAAAGTCATGCAAACTCCTGGCAGGTGTTATTTTATCAGATACTAACCATTCCCTTCACTCTTATCTTTCTCCTTGGATATCTTCTGATAGAACGAGATGTAATTACATTAAAATCCACGCACTCCAGCAAAAGCATAAAAGTTCTATAATACCTTACCTAGCAAATATACTCTGTGACGAACAGGTTGTTAGAGTGAACCTAGTCAATAACCTGCATTCTTAACATGTCCCTAATTTGGAAAGTTGTACAGTATCTCAGATTTTTTTCTTAAACGTCCTTTTCTTTTTTTTTTCGTCATTTTTTTTGTTTTTTGGGTGTAAGAAACTTGTTACAATACTATGTGCTGAGAATTCTATATTGTACCAAAATATCACATTAAACAAAGCCATTAATAATAATAATAATAATAATAATAACTTTTACGGGATGAAATCTCTAACAAATTTTTATATGGTGAATGTTTAACTCTTATTCTGTAAATGATACTCTAATACTGTAGTGAAAAAGGATATGAGTGGGGACAATCGTATGTATTTGAACACGAAATTACAGAATATCTTACTAAAATCTGAGAACCATATAGTAAATAATTGATTTGCAAAATATCAATCCATCATCACAATTGATTGATCACTGGGTGGTGATCAATGTCATGCTTGTCTAGTCCTCATTAGTGCAGATTGAATGCTATCGACCATGTTGCAATGTGGCCACCAGTCTAGGTGACTCGACACTGCGGGCACTATGTATTGAGATTTAGATGGTGGTTGGAGGTAGTCGACAGGAAACCCTGGACCCGGGTTTCGTGCTCGGATAGCTCAGTGGTAACGTCTCTGACTGTGGAGCTGTGTGACACGAGATCGAATCCGTCAGGGAGCACCAGTTCCCTTAAGGTTACAGGTACACCTTGCTGTCGAGTGCCAAGTAGCACGAAACCCGGGTCCAGGGTTTCCTGTCGACTACCTCCAACTACCATCTAAATATATATCAATCCATCATGTCAAACCTGACTGTTCCTTTTGTAAATATCGGTTCATTGTCTTAGATTTCATTGTTCGTGCATTTTCATACTAATCGCGTTCCGTTCCCATTCTTTCTTTCACGATCTTATGCTGAAATATATTCTATGCCTGATCACTGTTATATACTACTTAGATGGATATAAGTAACCCACATCACAATATCTAAATATTTTTATACTTTATTTTCTCTAGGTATAAATTTTGATTAGGTCTGTTTACATAACATACCTTTAACGTATTGAACATATAATATAGATCGTAAAAGTAGTTTGCAGTAAGAAGGGTTCTTCTTTGTAACAACTAATTATCACTGATTGTTTTTAAAATCAAAGTAACTAGATACTTGAAATAGATTACTACAAAAAGACAATCATACAATGATTCAGAAGATTAAGATTGATTGATATGATCTTTAATCATGATCCAGATCATCCGATGTAAATGAACGATTTGAGTATTTCAAATGTTTATCTAGATTGAGTCAATTTTTTTGTTGACAAATAACACTTAGACAATTCATTCATTTACACTGAAATCATCTTATAATGAGATAAGTGATTGAAGTTAGTATTGAAATTAGAGTTAAGTAGTACAAGATACTGGTCTTAAATATTTAAAAATTCTAGTTTATTCTTACATGCCTTGAATGGGATAAAAATCTTTTTACAACCAATAACAAGTTATATATGAATTCAATTAGATATTTAGTTGTCATGTCAGTATTAATCAGTAATAACAATGTTCTTGTTTTACTCTATTAAGATTAGTTAATTTATAATTTACTTGCGAATTATTGAGGTAATTTAACGAAGTGTTGAACAGAGTCATACCTTTATGATCTTAAATCTATCGTTCTATGTCAGCCACTTTTTAAACATATGAATTTACCCCCACGTTATACAAGTCGGAATTTGTCAAATGGAGTTTATTGAAACGTTGCTATTTTTATTCTCATATGTATAGTGTTTGTGTATTAGTAAAAAAATTCTTGGATAAGGAAAAAATTTTGTCATGAAAGTTGTGCTTGACACTCCCCAAAGAATAGATCGGGAATTTTGTGAACAGGCGAAGACTTCTCAGGTATATTATAAGAAGTTATAGTGAAATACTATATATAACATTGGTTAAGAAACGGATTCATTCTCTAAGGTATAGAAATATTTATATACAAAAGAGTATTTATGCACATTATACGGTAAGCCAATAGACCTTCTCTTCCACTAAAGTAGTCAGTTTGAAGGGTTGGAATTTATCATGTTGTGTATCAGAACTCGGACATCGCCCATCATAACACACTATAAGTGAGGAACTGTATTTCAATATAAATGCTTATAAGTAATCTGGTCGATATGAATACTCAAAATGATGGTTTCATCCTGTATAACGAGTCACAAGTGTATATTGTCGAAGAATTTAAGCGTGGGATGAAACAGATACACAAAAGAGTAATATACACAGTTCTGGGTATTATTTTGAATTAATTTATAACAATCAACGTCGGGTTCATGTCACTATGAAATTTTAATTTTTCAGTTTAGTTAATATTAAAAAACCATTTCTATGAACTTACTTTTACCATTCAACGTTTCTGAATTTTGTAACGATTCATAACTTTGTACATGATCATTGTTCAGTATTTGATCCTTGAATAGAGTTATTATCAAATAAAAAGGGTAAAAAAAAACATTACCATAGTTTATATAGTCAATGAGTTCATTGATTCATTAATTATACACATTACTTTTTTAGGTACCATTCAAACAGTTTAAACAATGTCATCTTACTTCACAATTGATTGATCACTGGGTGGTGATTAATTTCATGCGTGTCTAATCCTTGTTAGTGCAGATCGAATGCTATCGATCATGTTGCAATGTGGACACCAATCTTACTTACTTATATGATATAAGTAAATCTAGTCTGAATTCAATTGTCATATGTTTTATCGTTAAGTATCATCGATGCATAAGTTAGATATCTATTGAAAATAGCTGATTGTGGAGATTTCTGGTTCATAATGGATGTCTAACTTAGATCGATTCGTGAATATTAAATGATTAAATAGTCAAGCGTTTAGCTTTTTATACCACTCAAACTATAAAAGTCAGGAACGATGAAAACCTGTATACTGAACAGTAGTATAAGTCGTAAAATTACCAGTGGGAAGGAAAAGAGACAGAATGACTGTAACCATTATTAATTTCTTCTATATTGGACTTCGTAGAGAAGGTTTTGTTGTAGTAAAGTTTGATTTTAATAACCATTTAGTGAAAATCGGTTTTATTTGTCGATGGTTTTTTTCATGGATTGACATCCACTGAGGTACCTTTGAAAATCAGGAATTATTATATACTGGTTTTCAATGATTCTCATAACTTATACCAATCTGTAATGAAAACCACAAATTAGAGGATCCTACCTAAAATTCTGAAATTTTCAATAAAACTTCGGTAATAACTTTATCATGAAGCACATATATTCATTTTCCTTTAAGAACCAAATCTACGACTCTCGGATTCATTTTTGTGCATCATGTGTACAGTTTATAGTAAAGTGACACATAAACATATCCAAATGTACAATTGACTTTTAAAGAAATATGATGATTTGAATCTGTATTTATCATTCCTCAATTCATTCACAAACTAATATCTGGTATGACCAAATTTACATCAAATTATAATACCATTATTTTATACGGCCTAAAACTACTCGTTTAGAAGCTCCGTTAGACCTTGATAAAAAAAACCTTAATGATTGAATGGTCATCAGATCCTCCAGAGTTTGTCGTTTCTCTTTAAAAAATGGATGAAAAAAGTAAAACAACCAGCTAGTTGGTGCTGCTTAAGTTTCTTACTGATGAGTTTCATGATAGATCGTTAAGTCTTTCTAAAAGTTTATAACTATATCCATTTAACATTAAGGAGTTAGAAGAAGTCTTAAACCCGAAATTCTGTTATGACGTGCTCACTTTAGAGCATATGAATAAATGGTTGTTCCTTATGTGGCGTCATAGGGGTGAATTTTTGGAGAATTCCAGTATGGTTATAGGTAGTTTAGTCCAGTTATTCTCTTAATTCTAGTTGCTATCAGGTAAAGGTTAGTTTTAATGAAAACCATCGACTGATTCTTCACAATTTTTACAATATCTACATCAGTAAAATGTCAGAGATTTGTAGACTCCTTTGTTAGTACATAAAATAACTAGTTGGTCACATAAATTAGTAACTATCTTTTCATTTCATTTCTTACCCCCTACTGATTTAAACATACAAAAATGATCTCTGTAACTCAACAGTCCAATAACATTGAGTTTAATTTTCTAATCACCTCCCAGTAAGTTGAATAAACAAGTTATGCAACCACAATAATAATAATAATGCCAGTAATAACGATGAATCGTCTTTTGATTGCCTCTTACAACATTACATTTTCAGTTGTAATGTATAGAATAGTAACAGTTTAATATCTTCAGTAAAACTTAATTTTACCTAATGGTATATATATATAGAGAGAGGGGGGAGGGAGATGGGGAGAGAGAGAGAGAGCGATGATGTAATTAGCGTTATACACCATCTGTTAATTGTTCATTTCAGTTCATGGTATTTCAATAAATTAGATGATATCATCATTCATAACTATTATTATTTAGGTTATGATAACATTGAAAAGGTAAAAAATGATTTCAATGTGGTTCAACACCTGCCTACTTCATATACAAAAATACCAAAATAGATACATAGGTAAAAGTGTTACCATATTTGGATATAACCATCTGTCTATTGTAGATTACATAGAGTTAATTATTGTGAAATGTACAGTGAATGAAGAAGCAAAAAAAGAACACTCTATTTAGTATTACTTTGAATATGGAATGTACTAAGTGTTTCATTCATTATTAATATACAATCCCTTCTTTTTAATTGGTTTCAAATCATATTCTAGTTTCTAAATAAATAGTTAAATGATTTCAGATGATAAGGGTGAAATCCACACACACACACACACATATACAGACATTCTATTTCCATATTTTTATCAAGATAATACAGAATATATGGCTTAAACCATATAATTAACGTGTATAGATAGTTTATCAATAATATATCTATTTCATTTCACAATTATTTAAACAAGTCATTGTTCATTCTAACATATGATGTACTCCTTTCATTTTACATGGAAATAAACTTTCACAACTGAATGAATCTGTCATGGTAATTTGTGGTCATTCATTATGATATTTAAGAAAGAAAAAAAACTAGAAGAAGAAGAAGAAGAACCAAAAGGGAGTGTTAAATGAAGTCATCCAAACACAAAGACATACATATAAACAAATAAATAACTACTTCTATTTGAAAGTCCTTTCTTTATTTGTCACTCTATTAAACTCTTTTCTCATTCCTTTAATTTCCTCATTCATAACTATCTACATATTAACATGAAATTTATGAGTTTATCTTTTTCTAAAAGAAATCCCCCAAAAAAGACGAACTCGGGATAATGCAGTAATTTCTTGTTTTCACAAGCAACACACAGTGAATATATATATGGATATAAAATAGATAGAAACAAAAGCAACCTTGTTGTTATTCATGTATTGATGATTGTAAATCATAAACTGGAAGAATCCATAAGTATAGATGTATGTTTAATTCAGAAATATATACAATCAATTATTATAACCTACATTTAAAATTGTTGAATTATTGAACAAATCAATGTTTTTGTGAGTAAATATCCTAAAGTATTTGATATTCATAATTATGAAAGAAAATTTTACAATTTTTAAGAATTTCCCGTCAGTCAGTCAGCTACAACGTAGGACCAGGCACATATGTGCATTGGTCCAGGTTGCCATACCGCATCAGCACAAAAAGATGAACACCGGATTCATAGCAGTGGTTAGGTCGAAGGTAGTAATATATAAGAGAAAGATTGCACATAGAGATATAGTACAAGAAGAAAGAATCGGTTCGTAGAAAGAAAGATATTAAGCGATTTTAATCTCTTAGTTTAAGGGAAGACAGGGAGTGTACACACCGACGCCATTGTGATCGATTCTGAGCCATGTCACCAAGAGTCTCCAACCATTGGTTACGAAAGTCACGCGGACCCCAACCAAGTAGTCTGCATCTACCAACATGGCTCAGACTAGAAGTTAGTGACTTCAGGCACTGATGCCACGTTTTGGTTTGGCCGCCCCTAACTTTCTTCCAACCATTTCCAATACCGGATAGCATTGCACGTCGTGGTAGTCGGTGTTCAGGCATACGTAACACGTGGCCCAACCATCTCAGTCGATGAAGATTCATAACCTCATCAACTGATTTACCATCATTCCCTAATACCCTGCGTCTAACCTCACTATTACTTACCCGGTGATCCCAGCAGACGCCAGCAATATTTCTAAGGAATCTGTGGTCAAATACTAATAGCTTACGAATGTCTTCTACTCTTAATGGCCATGTTTCGCTGTCGTAAATTAAAACAGAACGGACTGCCGCGCAGTATACTCGTCCTTTTATTGATAGACGGATATCTCGCCTTCGCCAAAGGTGACGTAAGTTGGCAAAAGCCAATCGAGCTTTTCGAATCAGTGCTGAGATTTCGTCCGATACCAACCCATTAGGGCTGATCAGACTTCCAAGATAAGTGAAGTTGTCAACGCGTTCGACTACTTCACTCCCTATCCTTAGTTCAGGTGTTAACGCAAACCAGTCCTGAAGCAACAACTTGCATTTAGAGGGAGAGAAGCACATTCCAAACATCCTGGCATTGTTGTTCAGTGCTACCAGAAGACTCTGCATTTTGTCAGCGTCTTCACCAAACAGGACTATGTCATCTGCGTATTCTAAGTCGATAAGTGGACCTCCTGGATGGAGATCAATACCCGAGAACTCAGTCGACGAGAAAGTTATTTCCATCAATCATTTAATATTGAATAAAGACTTGAAGTTATTTAGCCTATTCACTTTATTTCATGACTCAGTGGTCTATAGGTTAAGCATTCGGACACGAGAACGAATGTCTTGAGTTCGAATCTCGCGTACGGAATCGTGAATGCGCATCAATGAGGAGTCACACTTTAGTTCAAACATATTTCATCTCTATTACTAATATTAGGAAAAATACTACGGATTACCATCTTATATATATATTCTATGGTACCAGTTAAAGTTTGTTGAATTCCATGAAAATTTTTCTTTCTTGTCTATACAGAATTTTCATTCAACTTATTGAATTAAAGAAAAAACAAAACAAAAGTTAATATTTACCAACTCTAAAATAATAAACTTCAATTATTTCAACATTAGTTTCTATGGCCTGTTAGTCCTCGTGGAGGAGCATAGTCCACCCACCAGTACTCTACATCCTACCCTGTCCTGACACAATCCTTTCCAGCTCTTTTTCCAGTTGTTATTCATCTTTTTCATATCTTCTTCTATTTCCCGATGTAATTTAAACATTCCAATGAAAATTAGTTTAATTATTTTATTACTAAAACTACTCAACATTAAAAAATTATGAAAGAATTAAATTTCCCCCCCCCCCAAAAAAAATTCAGTCTACAAATTTGGGATCATATTACTATGATTTAGCCTAAGGTGTATTGCCTAAACCACTTGATAACAAATAATAATAATGATAAGGAAACTGAAATGAAGTATTAAAAACATTTTATTGGCATCATCTCTCGCTAAATAAAGTGGGTTTTTTTAGAAGAAAAAAACTGTTTACAAGTCCTGACTAAGAGATTTCATTGTGGTCTGAAACAAATCGCATCAAAGAGAACATGTATATGTGATATATTCCAACGAGAATAATGAATGGTAACTTTTAGGATCCATTTATGGACTAATACAATGCATATAATTGTTGAGTAACTAAACTATTCATATTCATGTTCCTCTTATTATAAGCTTTATTTTGACTTATAGACTACTATTATGGGAAGATTCAAGTGAAATAATACCAAGTGTATTATTACACGACTTAGTCTATTAATTACACTCTCTCACATTCACAGCCACATTTGGCTCAATCTTGTACAAATGTTGTTTCCTATTTTATGATCCGATATGATCTGTTTAGTTGGTAATATAAACACAGTATGTTTGAAATACATGATTCATATCGCAAAGGCTGATATTGGTATTCTGAACTTAATAAGCAGGACTAGGCAGGGAGAAGAACCGATAAAGACTCTAGACCATGGGTACGTGTTTTTTGCGTTATTGGTTCGGTCGACAACTCACTGTTCTCTAATTGGTGGTATCATAATCTTGTATTTTAATGTGGTACAAGGCCACAAGTTATAACAATATATACATAAAACAGTACATAACATCTATAAAATTACTCACTGTACTAAAATAATCAAGCGAATTTCTAAACGGTGTTTTCATTAGTTCATTGGAGATTGATGATTCTTGAGTATTGTTTGGCATTGCTTGATTAGTGGTGTAATGGTTAATTGGTAGTGATTGTAATTGTCCCTGATAACACTGTGACCGCTGTTGTGATTGATGTTCGTAATGGTTATGGTGTTGTTGTTGTCCTTGTTGTTGTCGGAGTAATTTGTTTGCTTGCAAATATGCTAATAGAATGTGTGGAGGTGGTGGAACCTGCAAAATTTCCGTAAGATAAGAAAAAACGGTAATTGAAGCAAAAATAATACGCATGTCACGTGATTTTCTCTCAGATTTCAATTTAAGATGCAAACCAATTAATGCCAACATTTGAACACTTACAAAGAAAATGGAAGGGTCTTAGTTTCGATTCTTGGGGGAATTATGAGTGTCCAGTGTGAAGTAGTTGCATACTGGGTTGAATCATCTATCCAATGTTCTATGGTTATCAGTGATGCCCTAAATAAGATCGGTCTGTAACTCATAAGACCTACAATTTGAAATAATAATTTATTTGGGAGATTTTGTTGAGATATTTATACTTTTTATGTAATTTTCATCCATCAGTCGATATCATCACAGTGTACTCTCAAGTAACAAAAGGCATTGAACAACTTATTTGTTTCATTTAGAGATTATATAAAGTGTACAGCCACGACCGCTCCACCAATCGAGCCAATGACTTTTTGGACTGAAAATGAACACTATACATCTAGAATACTAAGATGGGATCCAGTAGCCCACGCTCCATTTGTCGTTGGTGAACACTATTAGCAAGTCGTACACTAGGACGAAACAGCCATCTGGTGTTCACTAATTTTTAGTGGTTCCTCATTTGATGTCAATCTGTAACTTTTGCCAACACCACACTAAAGTAATATCCATGTATATTTCAACCTAACCTCGTTTGTCTTCACAAATATTTCAACTAAAGCACACTGTCAGGAAACTAAATTTTCAACTCTTTAATTAACTAAATGGTACTTAGTTAACAGACAGAAAGTCTGTGCGGAGCTTTGTGGATATCGTAGTAATTTCAAAGTTGAATTCACGAGTCGATCTAAGCTAAACCACCATTGAAAACTTAGAAGCACTAGATGGTCATTTCGTCCTAGTATGGGACTCACCAGCAGTATGTATCCACGATCCCGCACGTGATACTCGAGCCGACAACTTCCTGTTTCGCGCGCGAATGTTTAACCTCTAGACAAGTGAACTGGTATCCGACGGTGTTAATGTCTAACTTAGATCGATTAGTGAATTAAACTTTGAAAATACTACAATCTCCACAAATCTCCGAACTCATAATAATCATGTGCTCATCAGTGGCTAGCTTCAAAATGAAATTCCTTGAGTTCTAACGAAAAGCCATGACCATTGAAGTTCAATCCGTGTGAGTGGAGATAATGTATCAAGTGTTGTGCAAGACCATGGATCACTGACATTAATACCGTTGAATCACGGTTCAGTGGACTATAGGTCAAGCGTTCGAGCGTAAGACCGAAGGTCTTAGGTTGGAGTCTCGTGTGCGGGACCGTGGATGCTCACTGCTGTTGAGTCTTATACTAGGACAAAATGACCATCTAGTGCTTCTAGATTCTGAATTGTAGTTTAGCTTAGATCGACCAGTGAATTCAAAAGTGAGAACTAAAGTTACTATTTTTAGTATGGTAAACATTCATATCTTATTGGTATTGATGTTAGTTATTAACCAATTACCTATCTTGAATGCTTATTAAAAATGAAATTAAGTTATTTCTTAATATTATTTTCTGTATTCTAACTGATTGAATCATTTGACTTTTATTTATTAAGTTGCAAATTCTAACTTTAGAGTCTAGTATAGCATCATCACATTCTACTCTAATGATGTGATTATAATGTTATAAATAGTTAGTTTCCAAACTGGTCAAAGTACATAAATAAATACTGGCTGAAGAATCGCAAGTATAAAGTGAATTTGAATAAATAACTCAGTCTTTAAATAAATGACTACTTAGTTAAAGTAATTAACGAATAAGGTTTAACATAAGTTGGAATTTTTCGGATTTTATATTTAGCAGAACTTTTAAACATGTTGATATTATAACGGATAATATACTTTTAATTCACCCATATCGTAATAAAACAAGATGCGGAACATTTGAAAATAAAAGACTTTAAATATATGCAAACTGGCAATCAAACAGAGTCATTTTGTTCAATCCCCGAGAACTAAATGTATTCAAAGAACCAAGTTTAATTAGTTTAATTACTCAGATAAATTTCATAGGCTTAGTAGTTATAATATTCAAGTATTTATAGTACTAGAGTGACATTAAACACAAAAATCAACACAACTCAACGGTAATAACAATTATAACACTATGATACGTTACAATCAGGTATTTCACGTCTTTCAAGATCTCTATATACTTTCATAGTTTAGATTTATACACTGTACTTTCTTCAATATCTATAGATCAATAATGTGTTAACAGATAAGTTCCATGTTTTTGCCTATTTTGTCTTTACAAATATTTCATTCTAACTGTTAAATTAATCGCATTTTCGAGTCAATTCCGTTTGACTAAACCCAGGTTACATAATCAATTCATGTTGTCATATTTTATGTTAGTACAATCGGAAATAGGGAGTTAACAAGATGAAAAGTAAAGAAAAGAAAGTAATATAATACAACAGTAGAAGGTACCAAAAATGACAAGCAGGTGAAATAATATGGGAATTAAAATCCAAAGGATGATAAAGTATTTTATTACTATAAGTATTATTCAAAGTAGTTAGCTGAATGTCACAATGAGTTCACCTTCAGAAAGCAGACTTTATTCACTACAGAAAACAAGTTGAAATGAACAAACTGATAAGTCTTGCGGATTGAACGCTATATTCGTCTCCTAAGCTATTCGGTAACCTTCAAGCTAGAACTATACAGCTACCTGAACACGAGAAAGAAGACTCAAAGTACGCGAGAAGTAGTTTATTCCAAGGTTCATTTTAATACAGAAAATACAGGGTTTTTATAATATTTTAAATGTCCTTGGGTTGCTAGAAGATTCTGGAATGCTACCAAACATAGTAACAGTGTAACAGCCAACTAATCAGAGTCTCTGTATGTGACGTTTCGCTTCCTTGAGATTTTTGGCTAAGACTTCAAGTGAACGCTGATTGGATGAAACGCTTAGTGATTCCTGATGCTTGTTTGTCTTTTGCAAGCAATTTTCTAGATCACCCCAACACAAACAATCTAAACAAATTACTGATTGCTTTATTTCAAATTATCCCCTTATTTTAATATATTTTGTAGATGTCTAGGAATGGAATCTATATCGAACTTTTCATACTATCTAGGACTTTCTCACTTCGATGTACGTTGATCTCATTTTGAGACTTGAGACTAGTACCTACCCTCTTCAGATCTCAACGTGTTTTACACTCAGCTATTAATTACGGATATGAATATATTTAGCAGGTATAATAATATTTTCAAGGGATTTTGCTACTGTGAATAATTTAGTAATATGATCGAACATGTAACTATATAAAATTCAATCAGGATGTATGTTTGACAACAAAAATTCATCAAATAGACTACTGAGGACTTCAGTCAGTCAGTCAGAACTTAGGGTCAGACACATATATGCATCGGTTCAAGTTGCCACACCTCATTAGCACAACAAGATAAACACCAAACTCATAGAAGTAGTCACTTCAATGGTAGTAAGATATAAAAGAAAGATTGTGTATAAGGATATAAAAAAGGAAGAAAGACTTAGTTCATAGAAAAAAAAAGTATAAAACAATTTTAATCTCAATTTAAGGAAAAACAAAGTGAATACATCTAGGTTACTGTGATCAATTCTGAGCCATTTCACCGTATCTACCAACATGGCTCAAACCAGAAGTTAGTGACTTCAAGGACTGATGCCACTCCTAACCTTCTACAAACCGCCTCCAACACTAGCCAGCATTACACGTCGTGGTAATCGATGTTTAGGCATACGTAACACGTGGCCCAACAATCTTTTGAGGACTAACAACAAGTAAATATACTTTCTCAAAAACAAAAAACAAATTCATGACATAATATTAAATATTTATCAATATCTTAGGTGATTTGTATACCCTAGAAGAGGTCAATCAAATAAAAAACATATATTTGAAAAGTAAATCTAATTTATATTTGCAAAATGAGTTGATATATGAATTAAATAAATTGATTTATTAGAATAATAAGAACTTCAATAGTTGAGATGATGAGTCAATTGAAGCTAGACCACCATGGAAAACTTGGAAGCACTGGACGGCCGTTTCGTCCTAGTATGGGACTCCTCAGCAGTACGCATCCATGATCCCACTCCAGGAGATTCGAACCCAGGGCCTATCAGTCTCGCACGCAAGCACTTAACCATTAGACAACTGAGCTGACCGACAGTCAACGGTATCATTGTTAAACTTCAACTAATCCACAAAATTGAGCCACACATAGATGATCGACATATAGATGAATGAATAATATTCTTTTACAATAAATCCCTATCATGTTCTATCTACCATTATAAATTAAAATGGTTAGTCAAAAATATTAAACAAATTTAATAAATTTAATGGTTGAATTCACGAGTCAATTAAAGCTCAGCAGTGCGTATCCACGATCCAGCCCGCAGAATCCGAAACCAGGATCTATCGTTCACATTCCAGAGTTCGCGTGTGAGACCGATAGTTCTTGGATTTGAATTCCGTGGGCGGGATGGTTAACGCACGCTGCTGAAGAGTCCCATACTAGGATAAAATGGTTGTCCAGTGCTTCTAGATTTTTCAAGGTGGTCTAGCTTCAAGTGACTCATGAGATCAACTATTAAATAACTAAAATCTCCACAAAACCCCATTTTGATAAAATTTAATAAAAACTAATCTCTACAAAGCACAAAGGTTCTGGATTCGATGCTTAATAAGGTTGTGTTTAGATACTCTTGGAGAGTTTCATATTGAGAAGAAATAACAATATAATACATGCTACTTTTCAATAATAAGCCTAATTAGTGAGTCAATATTTGATGTAAAACTACAAATTCAATAATTTCTATATCTCCTGTACCAAAATGACTAGCATGTAATATATACTTGAATAAGAATTTAGATTAAATAAAGCGACATAATTAGTAATTAGTAGTAACGTAGGATGAGAAGACTAATAAACGATTAGATAGAGTGGTGTTGTACAATTATGAATATAAATGCTATCAAGTTAATATACAATACATGAACAGTTAAGATTAAAGTAATTACATTAACTAAAGATTAGGTGTTGATAAAAGTGAGTTTATTAGCAGTTTTATTCAACTTCGATTAAAATATAAATAGATTCAATTGTACATCATTTTACTGGTGACTCAAATATTTCTAAACACCTATTATAATAAGTGTACATATGATATGTTTGAATGGTATTATGAGTTCTTCTTACTCGGTAAACAGAACTAAAGGCCAAAATACAGTGACACGATAGGTTCTTGATCCAATCGATATAGTAGCCGTGTTCTTATGTCACTGAACTTTTTGGGACTGGAGGCTACAAATGAGGATGAGGGCTTTAAATTGGTCTTCAGACAAATACTTCAACCGGGAGCGTTCGTATTCACGGTCGACAATGCCCACATACGTAAGAAAATCATCGTCTTTGTTCATAAGTAGCTTCAAACATCGATAATGAGTATTAAACAGTGATGAGTTGTCGCTGAAATGTTGGCTTAATGTCTGAACTGTGTCTGAGAATGAGCGATCACGTAGGTTCAAAGGCAGTGACACATCTACTATTGTCTTCAATGAGTTACTATCTCACAACAGACCCACTTGAACACCACTGGTCACTGCTTCTCACTAGAACTCCAGGTTATACCTTTTGAAACCGTCACTAGTGAGTATATATTGATTGGTATTACAATAATAAAAGATTCACTTACCCAACCAACTGGAAATAAATATGGTATTCTCATTGATAATTGATTTGTTTCTTCAATTGTTTTTGTATTATTTTTATTATCAGAGAAATTCTCATCATTTTTTAATTGTTCAATAGGATTAAATATTAGAAATGGATTACATTTGGTTAATTGTAAATGATTATTCCATAAATTATTATTATGTATTTGATTCAATGACGTAAAATAGGAATAAAATTGTATTGGATTCATTTCATTCGTTTGTTCATGTTCTGTTAATTGAATAAATGACTTTGTGATAGACATTTCAATTGAATATTCGTTTGTTTTTGAAAGTGAAAACCTCCTATTGTTTTTAAATATAAAGAACAAAAATACAAGGATAAAGTTCTACTGTAGTTCTAATACGCATCCACGATCTCACTCACGGGATTCGATCTCGTGCACGAATACTTAAACTCTAGACCATTAAACAGGCATTCGATTGTGTTAATTCCTAACTTTAACCAACACCGAAAGAGGCCGAAGTTTTTGGGGTCCGAATCTTGTGAGCAGGATCGTGGATGAGTACTGATGAGGATTCCTGTACTAGGATGAAACGATCATCCAGTGCTTCCAGGTTTTCCATGGTGGTTTAGTTTTCATTGACTTATAAATTCAACTATTAATTTACTACACTCTCCACAAAACCCCTTTCTGATAATTATATTTGAGAAGTAATCAATATAAAATACTGGATTCACATTAGGTGTCATTTAGTACTTACTAATGGTAAATCAATGAGTTGATTCATACAATTTAAGATAATCAGTTACCTAATATATAGTTCTTAAGAAAAATTAATTCATGTATAAGTACGTATTATGTTATGTATTATTAAAGAAATATTTAAGAAATAAATCAGCTTATGTAAAGTAAAATTTAGAGAACAAATCATAACTGAACAAAAAGTTTGTTAGATACTGTATATTTAAAATTAACGATATAATCTTATTTGTTAAGCTTTGTATTTCCATATTGTTATTGTTATTCTGATCACTCTGAGCAACAATGCAAGCATGTTCGAGATGCGATTCTCCCACTCGAAATGCAAAATGTTACTTAAGGATTGGGTTGCACCGACACCAGAACTAATGATACGGAGTGAAGTAGTTGAACGTGTCGACCGCTTCACTTATCTTGCGAGTCTCATCAGCCATTGTGGTCTAGTGTGTGACGAAATCTCAGCACCGATACACAAGGCTCGATTAGCTTTTACCAACTTGCGTCATTTATGGTGTAGGCGAGATATCCGTCTATCAAACAAAGGACGTGTTTACTGCGCACCAGTTCGTTTCGTCCCACATTACGGCAGTGAAATATGGCCAGTAAGAGTAGAGGACATTTGTACATCACTAGTGTTCGTTCATAGATGCCTTAGAAGCATTGCTAGTATATCGTGTGACCACCGAGTAAGTAATGCAGTTCTTAGAAAACATGTACTAGGTAAGGATGGAAAATCAATTGATGAAGTAGTGAAACTTGATCAGTTGAGATGACTGGGACACGTGTTACATATGCCTAACCACCGACTGCCCCGACCAGCAAAGTTTTATGGTGTAGGAGTAGGTTGGAAGAAAGCTAGGGGCAGTCAGACCAAAACGTGGCACAAATCCATGAAGTCACTGACTGACAAGTGGAATGAGTCATGTTGGTAAGTGTAGACTACCTGGTTGTGATCCGTGAGACGATAGCAATCGATGGTTAGTGACCTTGAATGACATGTCTCAACATCGTTTGCAATGGTGTGCGCAGGTACATCCACTCTTTGTGTTCTTCCAAATTCTAGTCTTCTAAATTATTCATGTCGTTTATTTTCTTTTCAAATTTATTTCACTGTATTATACTCCTTGAATAACATCTTCAAACCCTAATATTTCCGATTAATACTTATACTCTTACTACGTCTACCATTACGTGATTTGAATGGACAACTGCATCTCTGTGCTAATGTGGTATGGCAACTCGAACTGATGTACGTGGGTACGAATTTCTACGTTGTTACTGACTGACTGACTGATTTTTAATGTTAAGGACTGAAACTGATCACTTCCATAATATTTCTACCTGTTGTAGAAGTTAATCACTATATGAACTCAATAATTCAGTGGATAATGTGTTGAAACTTGAAGAGATTAATACTGGGTTCGAATCATAGTCTAATCATCAACATTAAGATCTTAACTAATCCTAGAATGGATATAAAGCGAGTTTTCATTTCAGCTGCTAGCCATTATCGAAAATATTCTTTCTACTACATAATTGACGCTTTATAAATAACTTAGAAATTGACATCAATTCACATCTACCCAAATTAACCTTCTTTTACTTTATGAATCAGAATAATTAAATTATATAAAAGTTGAATAACTCCGCCTGGAGTCCCTCCGGGGGCTACTGCCGGTCCCAAACCCAGGTAAAGGGGGAGGGTTGGGCATGGGGTTACAGAACCCATCCCGTAGAAAACTAACTCGCTAAAAAAACGCTAACTAGAAAAAATTATCCAAAAAGTAAAAGTTGAGTATTTCACTTCTTTCCTTCAATCATAGAATAAAACTAACATACAAACCTAAATACAGAATGCCACATCTACCTACATGATTATCTAGACTAATTTCATATATTATGATAGTCATCCTTAATTCCTTACATATTATACATTGAGTTTCAACTGTAATCTAAATATGATTTTAAAGGAAATAAAATATTTTTTTTAATGATTTACAATTCTCCGATAATCAAAAACTACAATTCGATATGAAACCATGAATCCATTTTCTATGTACAGTTTAATGATAACTCATTTGGTTACCTATTGCTTAAATGATAACAGATTTCATCAAATATAAGTACAATCTATCATTAAGCTAAATTATTAATAATGTCTGCATATTTATAGGTATATCTATCATATAACTACTCAACTCACTAGAATAAAATAGTTTGATATCGGTCTGCAATTTAATACAATTGTGTGTACATAATAAATCCATACTATTAGATAACTTAATGTATACACATAGAAAAGAACCGTAGTTTACAGTAATATTAATAATAATAATAATAATAATAATAATAATAATACATGTTATTATTATTGTATACTCTGATAAACTTTTAAATTGTTCATGCGTAGATAATTTGATTTATAACTTAATCTATAATCTAATCACATTTAATTCAGTATGAATAATGTGAACATCCTTATATAATTAGTCTTTGCTTTTGTAAAATTTTAAATTAGAAGAAAGGATTTACTATTATTATTATTATCATTAGTAGTAGTAGTAGTAGTAGTAGTAGTAGTAGTAGTAGTAGTAGTAGTGGTAGTAGTACTAGTAGTAGTACTAGTAGTACTAGTAGTACTAGTAGTGATACTATACGGCTTTGCATCGCTCACATGATTTTAAAAACCAGTCAAGATATTCTGAATACAATAGAATCGAAGAGTACTGACTGTTAGATACGTTACTACTGTGTTTGTACATAACTAACTATTCTATCTTAAATTCAGTACAATATATTCATGAGTATGGACTGTGTTCTCGGTCTTCAGTTCAGATCCAGTCATGAATATGGGAGTATGTATTAGTTAGTTCTAGAAATTCAATCCGTCATATATCAAGCACGCTACCACTATTATTGTGAATGAAAACACATTTCCACCTGAATCACTCTCTGCTCTCATGCTCTTCTCTTGGATCTTCTTCCGCTAGGCATTTCATTTTCGATTAGTAACACATACTACTTATATCTGTCAACATCAATAGCACACACCATACTACCACTTCAAAACATATTATTAACATAATATATTACCCCAATTGACAAAAAAGAAGGCCATTAGGATTGGGAGAAATGAGATATTTGAACATACGTAAAACGAAGAAACATGTAACTTGTAGACTGGGTATCTTGTGTAGATCAAAGTATCTCACATCGGGTTTTGGCATGATGTAACCACGAAATTTAACCAAACCCTTTCAACTAGTTATGTCTTTTCATTAAATCATTCATCATGGAAAGTTATTTTCCACTGAAGTACATTTTTTAAACGATCAGTTTGGTTTTTAGAAATACAATTCCAGTAATAATCATTTAAACATTTTTGGTATTTGAATATACATATATATCAGAAGGGGTTTTGTGGGGATTGTAATAATTTCAACAGTTGAAATCATGAGTCAATTGAAGCTAGACCACCATGGAAAACCTGGTGGGAAAGTCCCACAATAGGACGAAACGGCCGTCCAGTGCTTCCAGGTTTCCCATGGTGGTCTAGCTTCATTTGACTCATGATCTCAACTGTTGAAAAAAATATATATCAAATGTTTGGACGTAATATCAATTATAATTAATGTTCTAAAATGGTGAATATGTCATCTATAAATTCGACTTCATTACTGACAAAATAACAGATTTCTATGAAGTTGTTCCAAATTTATATGTAATACTACTATTCAAAGTCTGTTAACATAATTTCATTGAAGTTATCACCTAACTCAATAAATGTAACAAGAATTATTGAAATGAAACACCGTCTAGTTTACTTATTTGTCTACGTAAGATCAAACTAACTATCTGTATAACTATCTGTATAACAATTCAAAAGAAGAATTTTCGAAGTAAAAGTTACATACATGAATATGTGAAAAATCATCTACATAGAAACACATTCACTTCAAATATTCTAGAAGAAAAAAAAGTTACTTACCAGTGAATTACCAAGAATAATGTTCGGCTTTATTTTAATTTATAGAATATAAAATTAATACTGTTTGAATTGTTACAAACTCGCTTGAAGTAGGGGTAATGAATTTATTAACGTAGAATAAATAATAAGAAACTTTACTGACTGATCTATTACACAATTACATTAATATTAAAACAGATAGTTCTCTGTCTTTTTCTTTCCCATTCAAGTTTCTAACTATAATTAACTAATAAATATTGTTTTTCATCTATACAAAAGATTAACACTTGCTTCTCCTATCTAAAATGAATGTTGATAGGGAGTAAGGAAAGAAAAATTCATTATTTCTAATGCTTGAATTATATTTGTTTAGTTTTCTATCCTTGCGGTAAAATTACAATTTTATTAACCAATCAGAGGGAAGGGAAAATTGTTGTTGTTTATTTGATCAGACAAGAAAATACATTTTATTGGTCTTTAATATTTTTTCAATAGTCTTGTAGACACGACCTCTTATATTTAGATCGATCTTCGGCCTAATTCAATGGTTTCAATGTACTACACACACGTAAGT